GCCGCCGAGTAAAAAATAAAAAAGAAAAAATTAAAAAAAGACTCACCAGGTTGAGGTAGAAAGTCACTTAAAAAAAGTACAAAAGTCAGTACGAAAATCACTTAAAAAGTACAAAAAAGAAATGTCCAAGAAAAAAATAGTCACGTAAAAAATAACACACAAAAAAAATAGTTTAACAAATCCAAGAAAAAAAAGACACTCGGTCACTGTAACAAAATACACACAAAAAAGAAAAATGTTAATAATCCATGAAATAATTTTACTCCCTCCGAATTATTCGCAGGAGGGAGACTTCATTCACATATCGCGAGATTAACCCGCGGGGAGGACTTCTAAATAATTATTCTCCTCCTCTTCCTCCTCTTCCTCCTCTTCCTCCTCTTCCTCCTCTTCTTGTGCCAAAGCCAATGCACGAATATGTTCGTACAAGGGTATTAGCCATGGCAGTTGCGTGGCACCAATGAGAGGGTTATTGTCAATGTAATAAATACGTTGTTCCTCCACAAATACTACAAAGTTACCACGGTACTCTACTCCGTTGAATCTTGCGCGGAGAATGACGCGTGGTAATTCCATTGCGTTGCACTCAAAGTTCTTCACGCAAAAAGCAATTGTTTTTTTTCACCAGTGATTCTTTGCGCACAAAAATTATTATCGAGGCCACGTTTCAATGCCTCCACAAGACTCATTACATGAGACTGACGCGGCGTGTCAAAAGAAGCGCCGATACTCCGGCTGCTATAAACAAATCGGGGAGACCTATGATGGCTTTTTTTCGTAGAAATCGACGTACGTGTCGCGGCGAGTCAAGAGAAGCGCCGATACTCCGACTGCTATAAACAAATCGGGGAGACCTATGATGATGATGATGTTCCGATTTAAACAAAGAAATTGTCGATGATATATAATGGGTCATGGGATGTGCAGGATCACAGTAGATGGAAGTCTAATGTGAGAGAGAGAGAAAAGCGTGCATACAAAAAAATGCAAAAGTATCGCGTAGTGTCTAACGTACACGTTCAACGAGAAGAAATGGCAAGTGAAAAGACATCGCAGGAATTCGATTATTTGGCGTATATTAGAGATTTGTTAAAAATTACTTATCCAACTGAAGCAGTAAGTATATTTATTCACATGTATCTTTCTAATGTTTAAAAATATTATTAAACTCAATATTGTAAAAAATATTAAACTCAATATTTTTGTAATTTGACAGACATTATATCTCGATGGTATCTCAGTCATGGAAACTGTGCAAGTACGAAATCTTATAAAAATTCAAATACGCCACCCGAATGGAGTACGTAACTTTTTCTCCTTTTTTCTTTTTCTCTCTTTTGTCCTTTTTCCTTTATTTGATATGTAATGAATTGTGTGAAATTGAGATTTTTTTTATTATTTTTTGCAGTACTTATGCATATATGATATCAAAATTAATGGCTTTATGAATATTAATCATCGGCAATGGATACGGTATCAGCGTCGTCAATATAAGGAGTATTTATACTTTTTATGGGAAGAAATTACTCGCGAGGACGTATTTGATCTGCAGAGACTCTTTGGTTTACGTCCATATGAAGATGATAAAGAAGTGTGGTGAACAGTGTCTACAGGATATTCTCATTATTTTGAATGAATAATTACATAATTGAATAATTACATAAGTAATAAAGATCCACAAATATATATACAATACAATACAATATATATATAAAATAAATATTATAGTATATACAATAAATAAAAGTGTATGAGTTATTCTTTTGCATTAAGTAAATATTAAAAAAATTTTTCACTTTTTTAAATCGTGATTCAATTTCTTTGTCATGTCCATGCCCGACACATTGACCTACATTCCTGCTCGACGCGTGCGAGTCATCCCGGCAAGATAAACTTCTCGGCGTTATATGATAAGAAGCGGTACGTCGATCGTTAGAATTATCAACGCATGGAAAAGAAATAAAAAACATAATTCGTATATCATATTTATTTTATTCATGGTTATCTGACCACCAATTAAATAATTTGAATACATTTTGTAATACGCAATTATAGTGATATCCGCATCGCATAGTATTATCAGCGTCCAGATTGTTTAGAGAATCTACGTTTTCGTAATCAGCATCCAGAGTCTCGATATACACGCGCTCATCGTCCAGAAGCAAATTCCACAGCCATTGTCGTTTTTCGTGTCCCTTGACATATACGACAGCATCGCTGTCATCGTCGTCGTCGTCGTCGTCGTCGTCATCGTCTTCTTCCGTTCCATGCACAGCCTTTGTAATCAAACTCTTAGCTTTGCTGTATGGAATCGTTTCGTCGTCCCATCGTAGTCTATGGTGATGACGTATCACCCAGCGTGCGCGAGACTTGTCGGCACTTGCGAGGAAATGTCATGGTATAGGGCTTGCAAAAATATAGTGAGAGAGAACGGTCTGTTTTCTGAGAGCGGCAAA